ACTTAATCTAAAAAGACATTAACCCACACACTCTGAGTAGGGGGAGGATAGACAACAAATTTGTGTGGCACAGTCTCAAGCCTTTACATGCAGCAGCAAAACTGGGACGACCAAATATACTGTATGATATACTGCACTGTCTGATAGCAACCTGGCAGTAGGTGCTTCTTGGCAATGGGAGTCTCTGTTATTTATTTGCCAATCAACCGCAGTTTACATTTCAACACAGGTTTGCTGAAGTGATTGGAAAGCACTGATTTGTTCATAAAAGCATCCAGACACATGATGGCATCCACACCGGTTTAGTGCCATGCACAGTGTTGTGGTGATACTAAAACACAATAAACAGCACCACAATAGCAGTTGGTGCCAGCCACTGTTGCCATCATTGCAGTGGGGGAGGGGGGTCATGTAAAAATGGGGTTGGGCTTTAGCCTCTAGCTCATACCCTAGCCAGGAGAACATCTCAACCTGTGCAATAAAGCTTCCTTCTGCTCTGAAGCTACTGACCACATTCCACTGTATTGGCCTGCTTTCCTTGCAGGTATGTGGGATTCAGGTGGAGGAGCTTGACGTAATGCTCACTTCTCTGTTTCACTGCCAGAGTACGTCAAATTGAGAATAGGAACCTCTTTATTATAGAGGTACAAAAAAAAAACACAGGGGAATTCTGTCTTATAATGACGCAACAGCAGAATACCGGCAACTTACATCACAATGGATTAGGATGACAGACTGATCCTTGTCTACCATTTAGTGTTTTCTTCAGGCCATGACACATTATTTAGCCTGCCGGTCTTAGCAACAGTGTCCAATCTTTGACTTTAGCTTGACAGATGCCTCAGATAAGGTGATTAGTTGACGAAGCTAAGGTCTTGTCTAAATCCAGAGATTGTTTTAATAGGTGTAAGAGAAGGTTAGCTTTAAAGGCTTAGAGGTAATAGGGATGTTGAAAGGTGTACAGGGATCACCAAGGACTGTTCCCTGGCACACAAACAGTGGTAGGCCTTCTCAATCCTTTGGACAAGTACTACTTTACTGTCTGCAGAGAACTCCATTACCCATGCTGAGATCAGCAGAGTTTCCATCAAGATCTGATGTCCTTCCTTAGTAATTAGATTGTATAACATAGTTATTACTGAGCACAGCACCACAGGGAAGTGCTTTACTTGGGAGCATGCAAAACTTTCATCAGACTGTGGGGTTGTGTTTCAGTTTAATATCATCATAACTAAATCAGGAAACCTTAATAAAATGTTGCATTTTATTACTCAATGTGTGCATGTGGAGTGCAAACAGTGCATTAACAGAAGGTAAAAGTCGTTGCATACTGTACCTGTCAGTGAAGCTGGACTGTGTGTCACTCATTGGGCTTCCGGGTCTAGATTTGCAGCAAATTATATCCGATTAACATTTTCCAGAGTGAGAGGAGTCGATTTCCTGGAGCGTCCTTCTCTGGCATTCGTCTGAAGTGGGCAAGGATTTTGAGAATGGTGTTGAAAATAAATGGGACACTGTTGGGTTGTTGCAAGGCACGTCCAAACACTGGTAGACACTAAAATATTACCTACAGGCTATCTGTTCACCAACACTCCTTGCCAAAGCTGAGCAGCTAGGAATCTACAGTGCAGACCTTAAAAAATTAATCGGGGCCTCTGTCGTATTAGCTGTGCAGTCAGATGATATCCTACCCCGGCTATAAACAATATTTTGGCAACCAGAATAAATATACTGCGTCAGCTGGTACAAGTTGTCGTGCATGTATGAACTCCTTGGATGGATCCTGTGCATTCACATCCCAGTTTCCGCCGATATGAATTGTGTAAACAATATGTATTCCAATGTAACAGACACCTTGGCCCTGCGATGGAGTCCGTCTGCCACCACCCCAGCTCGGCTGAATGGCCTCGGTTCCTAAATGATCTTTGAAGATGCTGGAAATTCCTCCAGTCCCATTTGGTATCCCCTGCTCCCAGAAATGCCTGTCTGTGACTGTGAGGACGAGTCTCCCGTGACCATGAGAATCGCTCAATACCGAGTTTAACCGACCCGTGTTACAAATTAGCAACGACTGCAGCTAATGTTATACCGGTGTAAGACGTTAGATTCAACAAACTGGCTAGATGGTCGATTAAAATAAAAAAGCACAGTTGCCTTTTTTAGAAAATCCTTTCTCAGTGAAAGCTGGCTGGCGTTGAATCTCGCCAGCTACCAGCTAACAAAACAGATGAGCTCTTTCAGCAGAAAACTTTGCTTCGTATGCTCTTGTTTCGAGTGCAAACTAAGCAAACTCCCGTTCACAACAATGAGCCGGCCAACGACCGAAATATAGATATACAACACGGCATGAATGTTGACTGGCTTGCGATATTTCTCCGTGTTATGTCCTTAAGAAAGTCTCCTTGAGGAAAGAAAATCCAGTGAAGTCGGTTAGCACAGCGCAACGTTCCTTGACTCCATGTTTCCAGAATTCAGTCGTTTCTCGGCAGAATTCCCGTGGATGGAAGCAGCTAGCTATGTGGCCAGCTAACGGGACACAAAGTAACACCAGTCCGCTGTAAACACCGGCGAAAGGACACCGAGGCGGTTAAAACTTTTAGCGAACATCAAACGCTGTTTTTTTCAACGCAAGACGTTGTTTGTACAGGAATATAACTTGCGGAAAGGAACCAAAAACCCCACTTTCTGCCGCTAGCAACGCCCTAGCCAGCTAGCTGTTGGAGTCCAGTAGCGCTTCCACTAACCACTTCCGCCGGGAGATGGGAAAACTCATTTTGTTTCAGCATGTTTGTGACCACTGCTGCAGAATGACCCCCCCAGATGATGACAAAATAAAAACAAAAACTATGATACCACCAAAATTACTACTACTAGTAATGTTAGTATAGTATTCAGTAGTATAGTATGTTGTTTATTGTATTTTTATTGTAGGTTGTGAATGAAAAATAAAATGTTATATATTGGAATATTGGACCTGAACCGATTAACCGATTAATCACTCAGTCCACTGACAAAAAAAAAAGAAAGAAATGGAAACAGTCTTGATAATCAAATAATCGTCTAGTATTTTTTTTTTTTTACAGAAAAAATGCAACAAAATAATAATAATAATAATAATAAATCACTGGTTCCAGCTTCTCAAATGTGAAAATTTGTTTTCTTGAAGACATCACCTTACACTCTGCAAAGTATTTGTTTATCATTTTAGAACAAACTATTCATCGATAATGAGGATATAACTTTTATTTAAGCCCACATATATACAGTTAGACTATTAGTAAGATGTTATTTGTCGATTAGTATAGTATTCAATAATATTGTATGCTTTTAATGTATGTTATTTTAGGTTATGAATAAAAAATGCAGTGTTATATAATGGACCTGCATGATCAGTCAATTAATCACTCAGTCAAAAAAATAAAATAAATTAAAAAACAAAAAATGGAAACAGTCTTGATAATAAAAAAATGTCTAAAATTTTAACAGAAAAATTGCAAATAATAATAATAATAATAATAATAAATCACTGGTTCCAACTTCTCAAATGTGAATATTTGCTTGTTTTCTTAAAGACATCACCTTAGACTCTGAAAACTATTTGTTTATTATTTTAGACTAAATGATTAATCGATAATGAGAATATAACTTTTAAGCCCACTTTAAGCCCAAATATATACACTTAGACTATTAGTAAGATATTATTTTTAGGTGTATTTGCTAAATAATTGAGTAGTCGATTGACAGAAAATTAATCAGCAGTAATTTAAACAATCGATTAATCATTTAAGTCAGGTATCAAGCAAAAATGCCAAGTATTCTTTTGCTTTCTTATACGATTGTAACAAATATTCATGTTTATATTTGTATTTATATTATATATATATACTAAACTGATTTTTCACTATTTTCTGATGATTTATAGACTAAACAGTTGTACCGATTAGTAGATAATAAAAGTAATCATTAGTTACAGCCCTAGTTATTTAGATAGATATTGCATTGTTTATGATTCCATGTCAGGGAACCAGTCTTAAAATTTTCCCAGTAAGCAGGCACTGTTCTTCAGGTGGCTGATGAACTTGATGGTTATGTGTGTTGTTGTGTGGTTATTTCATTGTTTTCGTGGCTCTCTTACTGTCTGTGGTTGGTCTGCGACTGGGACAACAGTCATTATGTTCATTATTTACAGCTTAAAGTCCAGTCCTTTGTCCATCATCCATGACTAGATACTCCTGTTCTGATAAAACTATCTTAACTCATCCACAGAGAAAACTTGAAAGGCAAACAGAGAAAACACACTCAAGAGGCTGTATGAGTGTGTGTGTGTGTGAACAGGTTTAAAAGACAGAGAATGAAAATGCAAAAGATACTTAGGCTTTCGTTCATGTCTTTGTATTTGTTTGATATCTGCAAACTATTCTCAATCAGTGCGTGTCAACAAAACTGCAATCAATATTAACTGATTCCATTAGCAGTCCATTGAGCGTTTTTTAATCACTGCACTCGCGTTTTTGTAATTTCACCAAACTAAGAAAAGAAAATGCACTTAATATGACAGCATTACCAACGCCATAATGAAGGATATGGTTAGTGGTTGGTGTTTCACAGGCAATCTTTGCACCACCATAATGAATCTGTTCATATCCTGTTTACCTTTAAGTAGCTGTTGTTTGTGTACATGAGTGGACTATGTTCAGTTATTCTTCTCTACCTTCTCTCAAGCTATTTTGTTTGCTCTGATCCTTTTACCCATTTCGCATACTAAGTGAATGAAGTAATGCACTGTATATGATTATCTTCACCGTGTTGTGCATTGCAGTCCTGCTTCATTATTTATGTTTCTGGCAGCCGAAACCAAACTGTGCAATCCTTCAATATACACAATACACTGTGTATTACATACGGTGTCATACACAATATTAAACTCTGAGTGCTCCAATGCATGAAAACACCTTTAATACACATATTTAAAATTGAATTCATGCCGAAAAGGACGATAAAAAGTTAAACTGGCCAACTGTGATCAACTCAAGTAGAATGTGACACTATTTTCAGTTGTCAATGACATATTTTCTTTCATCCTTTTATTGTCTTCATACAAGCACTGCCAAATGACTCATGTCTCCTCACTGATCATTCATATATAATTGATATGACACCATCATGTGGACAGTTGAGGTAACTTCAGTCTCAGTCCTATATTACATCACAGTACTTGTGGCATTTAATGATGCAACTGCAGCTCATCCTTTAGTTTTAGTTGAAATTTCATTGATTAAAATTTATTTGAAAGCATACAAACAATCCATCCGCGACTGAAAACGGTTCGTCATTACGTCCTTACGTTGGAGGGTTTACAGTACAGCACGGGACAAAAAACAAACGAAAAATTAGGAAAGTACATTCAGATAACTAAGGCACACACCAGTTAGATTTTTACCTTCTTGAAGACAACAGTGATGCTAACATGATTCTCAACAATGGCAGCCATGTAAACAGACTTTGTATGAGCACAACACATCAAATGTCAATCAAATATAAATAGGGAAACAAAGGGATGGCAGGTTTTTGAGCACATTACTGAAGACATCCATGTGCAGTACAATAAAAAAAAAAAAAAAAAGATATATCATAATAATAAAAACACAGATATCAAGTCTGAGCATGAGGATGAAACCTGGAAGTGCGGTAAGCTTCAAGGCATGAAACAAATCCAGTCATGGAGCAGGCTAAATTGTAATATAATATTCTCTATGCATGACACTCTACCTGTCTTTATGCACGTATGTGTTCAGTGTGGTTGGAATCAACATCACAATATTGAGATGAATATATTTTTTTCTGGTAATTAATATGACATTATAGCAAATGTAGGCAAAATCACACATTAAATACTAAAACTGTCAAAACTCTTTACACACATCAATCGAAAAATTTAAATCACTATTTTTGTATGTTAGTGTGTTTGGGATGAACGAAGCAGAATTTGGCAATAACAATAACCCGATATGATTATATCATGTTGAAATGATTTCACTGACAGTCGCTAAATGACAACTAACTATAGTGTCACTGCCTTGTGTTTAAGGAGCAGTGTGTAGGATTTAGTGACATCTATTGGTGAGGACTGCAGCCTGCAACTAGCTGAAACTTCTCCTCTGTGCCACGCATTAACTCCTGGGTAGTAATCCTTCAGTGTTCGTTGTTCAGGAGGTTTTTACCAGGGGCCGAATTATCTACAGGTCTCTTCCTCTCCAAAACAAACAGACCAGGTGGTACTTTTGAATCCTTGCTTTTTAAAATAAATGCAATAAAATTAAAATTAAATAAAAATGTAAAACTCTGGGACTACTGTCACCTTAAATCTACCTAAAAAATATCAGAAGAAGAGGGAAAAAAACTACTGTCAACATTTTCACGCAAAGAGTTTGCCTAAAATGAAACTCAAATTACTGATGGCAAGTCATGACGCTGGCAAACGTGAAAGACTGGCGTGCAGTAGAGAATCTCCAGAAAAGTCTGCACTATTTTGTGAGAGATCTTCGGATATGTGCCACGCAACTTAGGTCACATCGCTTCCAAATCCATTCAATTCATCACAGAGGGGGCGCTAACCACAAAGGCAGATGCGAAAAAGTGAATGGCCCTGTCTGGAGCCAGTGTTTGGTTTGTCCATTTTGGGCTCCTGTAGAAATATGGCGGTGCAACATGGAGATCTCTGTCAACAAGCACCTGCTCCCTATGTAGATAAGAGCAGCTCTTTCTAAGGTAAATGAACAAAATGAAAAAACAATTCTTATTTTCAGGTGATAATACGCTAAAGAAAACATACTTATTATATTATATTCCACTTCTGCCAATATATCCCCCTAAATCCTACACACGTGACCTCTGAAACTCGGCGTAAAACTCTAGGGGCTAGAAACAAAAAATGAATGCATGATTGCATAGGTTTTCATTTTGCCCTAGGATTTAAAGGTGGATACAAAAAAAAGAACTGAAGAGGAAGTCAGATAGCTCACAATAAATTGCATTTGATTGTCATGTCTAACAAGATCTCAGTGAGACTGAAACATGACTCTATTAAATTAAATTAACTGGGAGCTATCAGCACAGAGTGCAAATCGTCTGAGAGGAAACACTTAAGATAACTTAATATAATAAGTACAAACTCTGACACCATTTCATTAAACATTTCAAGATATTCATCATTAATATAAATATCCAGATGGACTGCAAAATAGCATTACCAGTGTAGAACTATGTAATTTAGTGGTTCCTTTCTGTGTATCACTTTACATGAAGTGAGTAAAATAACTGAAATGTTTTTTGGGCAGGCTCTGCGACAGGATTTCACACAGCAGGCAAAAGCTTATAGGAATGATAAACTAAATCTAACAAAGTAATCAAACACATCACACACATTTCTCTGGAACTTTCTGGTATGACTTCATCTCCCTGAGTACACCTTTCACATCTGCTTAAAGTTTCCCATGCACCGAAAAAAAGACAAAAAAACAGGGTTCCAAGGAAACCACTCCTAACTTGTTCTGAAATGACTACAAAAATTTCTCAAGCAGGACAGGCATTACATGTAAACTGTCTCTTTCCTAACATCGAGCTCTCCTTTGAAGCAACACCACCACATATGACTAGGCCACAGTTCACTGCAACTGAAAGCAACATCTGCTCATGTGTTTATAGAAAGTGCTTTGGTTTTCAGTGACATAAACTACATCTGTGTTGTTAACTGCACATTTTACTCAGTAATCAAACACATGTTCAGCTGCAATAACTGCATAAAAAATGTTTTTTCTTTCTTCCAAAAATGCACAGGTGTTAGACCTTACAGATGTCACGAGACATCACTCTGAAATATCCCTTTTTAAATCTGTTTAACATACAAAAAGTTGATTTTCTTTGCACTTTCCCTTGTGCGTCCAAAGTGAAAAACACAGACACAGATTTCCTTTAGAGAAGCACAAGCCGATCAGTCCTTCTTCCCGTCATGACCATTAGCTGCCACTATCTCTTGCTGGTCCCTCTTCTGTTTCTGCCAGCTCTTGCTCTTCCGAATGGCAAATCGAACAATGTCCACCATAAACACCCAGGATAGAGCGTACATAGCCACTCCCCCACACTTGATAAAGAATCTGGGTCTTGGGGAGATCAGCTCACAGTACAGCATTGTGCCTCCCACAAAGACTCGCATCAACACAAACAGCAGCACAAACAGGACGTCCACAACGTCCCCCAGCAGCGTCCCGTAATGTCCTGTCTGTTTGAGGAACCAGCGTGCCTGCAGGAGGGGGTTGGTGATTTCGCTGCCAAAGAGTACCGCGCAGGACTCGATGCCAGACTCCCCCAACCACAGGGTCAACAGGATTCCCAAGATGCTCATGGTGTGGTGGGCCAGCATAACGGGTCCCTCTGTGCGGAAGTACACACACCAGGCCATATCAAAGATAAAGTAGCCCAGGCTCACCACCATGGCACCTATCTGCAGAGGAGTGTTCTTAGTGCCTGGCACAAAAACAAAATCAGACAGTTCTTAGTTAGCATGTTTTTATGCAAGCAAAAACAATCATGAAATCACAAATATAATATGTGCTATCATTGTAGCATGAGCACATAATTATTAATATCAACATGTAAAACAAACTTTCGAAGGAAGCTAAAATCATTTGGTCACTGATAAATAGTTTATTCACATTTTAAAATCTTTACATTTGGTAGTTTGAATCAAACTGTGCACACTATTCACTGTATCAAGAAACACTAAACATTTTCAACATGCTAAGCTATGTAGAGCTGAAAAGATCAGTCAATCACGACAAACTATGTTTATACTCAATTTGTCTTTTAAGTAATTTTTCAAGCAAAAACACTGATATAAAAATCCCCACAGGGTAAGTGGGCTACCTGGATAAGTGAAAGGCCAGGGTCCATCCACATAGCCTATGTATCCTGTGATGCAGACTGCCAAGATGCCGTGTGCCAGGGTGACAAGTCGACAGTTCCACTCGGAGCTCCTGGACCCGTTAAGGTTACACAAGATAAAGTAGAGAGAGACCCAACAAGACAGGCTCAGGAACGCACAAACCATAACCAGTGCCATCTTCTCTTCTACAGACAAAAAAAGAAGAAGAAGAAGAAAACAACAACTAAACCAACTTACAGTTTCTCTCAAAAATTGTGCCTGTCAGCAATCATCAAGCCAACTTTGGATCACATTCCACAGAAAACAGAAAAATGCATCGAGGAACATCTTGTGCTGTAATATCGCTTACAGTAGAAAGAGACAGCATTACCGTCCAGAGACTTGGACTGTGCAATCCTTTGTAAGTGACCAACAATTAGCCTTTGCTTGAACTATAATAGAACTATAGTTGGCCGGTCGAGGGTCTGGTGGGGTGAGGGGGACGTCTCTTCTTCTGCTGTGACGTTTGTACTAGGAGGTGAGACCATGCAGATGGTCGGGCCCACCCTCACTGGAGTGGAACAAGAAGTCTCAAAGACTTCAAGCAAGTTTCAAAACTAGATGAGAGGTTACTGGGTGCAGGGTCTCAGACAGTTCTCATCAGAGAGAAAGGTTATTTCAGTTGTTTTTAAATGACATGTGTCATAAAAATATTATTGTTGTCTTGCTTGCGTAGATACAAGGATGTCAGGGGGGCTTGGAGAGGTGGAGCCGTAATATTACAGTATATGTAGCAGGACAACTCAGTTTGTTGACAACTCAACTGTTAACTTAAACTGTATGCAAAACAGAGTGGCAGTTACAAACTGTTTTTTCGCAATTAAGCATTTTAAAATGTCAGATAATACTGAAAAATTGCCCTTACGTGATTTATTCAAATTGCTGGTGTTGACCAATTAACAGTCCGAAACCCAAAAGTAATTATTTTCATTGTTAAATGATCTGTGAATTATATTTTCAATTAACCCATTAATTGACCAGTGTGTCACAAAGGCTTAAATGTCGTCCTCAATTGTCTTGTTATGTCCACAACCAAAAAATATTCAAGTTAACTGTCAAAGAGGAGTGGAAAAACAGAACATATTCAAATTTAGGAAGCTGGTATCAAATAATTTTGGCTTTCATTTTCTTAAAAAAAAAATACTCACAACAATTATTCAACAATAAAATCAGCTGGCGAATAAGTTAGCCCAATAGTTGACGCCTAATCCATTAGTCTTTAAAGCTCTATTATCAACTTCTGTCTTGATCACTTCACTTGTAACATAAAATGGCTGCAATGGGTAGGTGAAATACTGGGACTGTTTGCTGCTTTATAAATGAGAGCATATATAGAAGTTAAGTTTGGTTAGGTATTATTTTGTCAGGAACAACCCACGCCTTAACACAAACACTCAAAAAACAAACATAAAAAGAGATAAGAAAACCAAACCCAAAAACAGGATCCAAAACTAACAACCTACACAAACAAGGTGTTATGCATGAAACTAAAGTAAACACCAGAAAAACCAGGGGCGCGGGAGAGAACTGCATCATTCAAATAACATACATAGTAATTTTAATGTAATGCATTATAACTGTGTTTTATAACCTCTGTGTCCTGTGTGGTGCTGCTGTCTTTGCCAGGAGTCTCAAGTTAAACAGGTTTAGTAAACTTTACTGGTTAAATAAAGTTATATATACACACAGGTGAGACACTGGAGCTGTTAAATGCATTTTGAATAAGAGAAATGGAAGTCGTTTGGGTTTTTAAAATGCTCAACATGAGAGAGAGGTACATGTATAACGCTTAAATTACGTTCCCATGGAAACCTGTAAAAATAAAATACAGGACTAGCAGTTAGCAACTAGCTAGCCGGATTTATGTCATCACTCACTAATGTGTTTTCCCTTTTTAAACCAAGCTAGCTCCCACAGAGGGCAGCTGATGTTGGCAAACTGAAAGGGCAGGAGGACAAGGGTTTATCCCTCCATTTAAGAGGATGCTCACTGACAGGCTAAATACTCTGTTAGCTGGATCCGTTATGCTATGCTAGCACTCTAACCGGTAGCAGGCTAACGTTAGGAGGCTAACAAAGCGTTTTCCTGTGGGATTGTGACGCGTCCACAAACGCAGTGAAATATATTTACCTTGGTGGTGCACATGTGGCTGTCTCTTCGTTTACATCCCGCGTGGTTTGTGTCCTGTGACGATGCGTTTCTAAGGCAGACTGTCAAAGGTTTGCTAGCAGACACAGTGGCTGCTATTTGTTGTCTTGTAACGTTACGGTGTCTCCGCCGGTGGCAACAGCAGCCTCCTCCAGCATCCCTTCAGTCCCGCTCCACTTTATTGGTCGCGCGCTGTACGTACAACTGTCACAACTAACGTTAGTAGTATTAACGTGTATTGAGATCACGCTATATTATCACTTACTTCACCGTAGTTTAGAGATAATGGCAAGCTTGTTGAATATGTAAAAGTAAAATGCATGTTTCCATCCTTCCTGGTGTCTTCCCAAAGCAATGGGAAGTGGCCTTATCTTTTTTTAACAGTGGCGACACCCTGTGGTCAATTGTAGGAATTACACACAAATTCCCCTCCAGAAGGGGGACAAAATGGAAGAACTACATAATTATTAATTATTCGTATTACAAATATTCTAACATGTGGAATAGGGGGGCACACAGTGGTTTTATGGGAGGACATCTTATCTGCATGACCTGGATTGAAACACTGGTGGCAAGTCCTGCACAAGCAGTGCTTTACCCATGCTCTACCCCCCCAGGATTGGGTCACTTAGGAGATATTTTCCACATGAACTCAATGAAGCATCACATTATCATTAGAATTGAATATTAGATTCCTGGTGGCTGAGGGTTTAGGGTTAGGGTTAGGGTGTTAAGGGGTTAGGGTTAGGGCTGTTTGTGTAGCCATACATTCTCACCTCGAGTCCAGCCTGGAACCTTTGTTAGTTACCTTTCTTTTCACTGTCAGCTCTCTGTTGTATGGATTGGATTACTGAATCGGCCTACTGTGCCAGGGGCCCAAATGTAGAGTGGGTCTGTTGCCCCTTACCTGCAAAATGCCCCTTACATTAACACATACTGACTAGGAAGAGATTAAAGATGATCACAAAGAGATGAAAAAGAACTGCAAAGAGACACAAAATAACTCCAAAAAGGGGCAAAACAGCCACGAAGAAAAACAAAATGACCAAAATAAAAAAGCATAAAATTACCTCGGTGAGTCACAGAACTTCTACAACGACAAAAACCACAAGGAGATGCATTACAACTACAATGAGATGCAAAACAACAATATAAAAAAAGCTAATCAACTATAAAGAGTGTGTCTTCCTCTTATGTAGGATACATATCTGTGCCCAGGGACCCATTGTCTGATAAGACATAAAAAGTTACTTACAATGTGTGCAGTGCAAAGAAAGACTTTATTGAAAATATTCATGTAAAACTCAACTCTTAAATGGTACACCACCTAATTGCTTCATTTTTTCCTTATAGCAACTTTTTACAACATATTCAAAACTCTTTCATAGAAAAAATACCTTTACAAACTTAATCTACAATTACATAGCAAAGATATCAGTGGAAATGTTAAGGCACTTGATCACCAGTAAAGGCCACCAATAGAAATATTTCACTCATTTGGTTCTTTAGTTAGCAGGACATAGCAACACACAAAACACAAAAGGATCTTTTGATATGGCAGTAATGATGGAAATGAAGACGGAGGTAAGACAAGCCAAAATCATACTTTGACCTCTAGCTCTAAAGAACAGACAGACACAATGAGATTTGGTCCCACAAGTTCAAGAAGTGATCCTTGAATTATGTATGAAATATTATAAGGGATTTGAGTTGCATAAATTATAGACATTTAACTGCTGACATGGACAGACAAAAGTGAAACCCAATAACCAGTATTTTGGCATTGGGATACAACAGAAAACACTTAACTGACACATAGTTTAACCAGAAGATGGCAGTATAGACTATTAAAAAGGCCATACTGTAGTTATAGTGAACACTAACATGGAAAAACACCACAGTGAAGAGTCTGTTTCTAGAAACTGAAACATTACACCCTTCTTTTGACAGTATTTCCTTTGACTTTGGTTTATTTGACACTTTTGAACAGACTGATAATGTGAGTGGTGGGCATGAGATGTCCCCCATGGATATACTTATCAATGAGGCAAAGCAGAGCTACAACTGTCCTATGAAATAAGATTATAAACCTGTTTATCCACACTCTCTGTACAACCATGAAAACTTGGCAACAAAGTGGTGTCACATATGGATGAGTCGAGAAACGACACCCAAAATCCAAGAGGTTAAACATTTCTGAAACTTGTTTGAGTACTTACTGTTACTGAGGACCTATGGTTGAGACTTTAAGAGTTTAATGCAAAAAGATACAAAAATAGTCCTCAATAATTTCGCTTTGCAACCAAAATAAATAAAGCCAGCATTGAAGAAGCATTTCCTTTGTCAGCCAACTTACATTGTTATTAACAAGCTGGCTACAAACTTTTTCACAGAACTTTGTAAGACAGATAATTCCACCATCCAAATTTTCCTTCACCAGGATGGAGGATTATGTTTGTCCAATATGAATCCTTTGATCAGAGTGGGACTCTGTTGTTCCTCTGCTGGTGTTAAATTGACCAGAAATGCCCTGTCCAGCTTTGTGCATACAGTAGCTTGTTTGGGAGGTTATTGTTGTTGGCGTCTGTCATCTGCTCCAATAATTTCTCCAAAAAAGGCACAAAAGTGACAGCTTCCTGGCAAAGTCACATTATAGCTGACAACGATATGTCATTTTCCCAGAAAAGGCTTAAAGTTAGTGGGTCCTCTTAGAACGACGTGCTGCATCTCTCCGTCCTCAAAGGTTTTGGTCTCATTTGGAACCTGAAATAATTTCTGTGTCAGCTCAAACATCTGGATCTCACCACTCCCCCACCTGAGACAGTTTCACTTAGCATCACGTAAACTGAGGTCCAGTGTTACTGTGTTCACTCTGAATAGCATGGGTGGGGAAGCATTAGCTTAATGTATTTATTTCTTAACCATCCAGAACAAAATGCTAGGTCTCCTCGTCCCATAGGCACAGCTGTTTTTGAGGAACATAGTAAGTAAAATGGTAGCCCTTGCTGCAGCTCTTTATGCCACACTTGTAGGTCGAGCCTTTGCCCGTGGTGTCCCGGCTGCGGCAGTACTTCAGCAGACATGGGTACCACTCCAAACGCAGGCTGTATGTGCAGAGACAGGGCTGCCACAAGTCTTTAGTAGAGTGACAGGCCTGAAAGCTGGGCGCCTCTGTTGTTTGGGGCAGGACCTCGAATATGGAGCCATCCACTCCTATAACACAGACAGCAGAGGGGCATTATTACCAGAGCTTGTGGTTTTAAAAACAAAAGCAAGCTATTATAGAGTTGTGTGAATCATTCTCTTTCTGATTTCACTCAATTAAACAGTGAAGAGGGCAAACAAAGTGGCTAAAAAGAGGGGAGATGGTGCAGTAAAAGGGGAGCTTTGTTATGCAAAGAAGATGCTACAGTGATTCCCTCCACTGATAATGGTGCGCAGTGCTTGGTGAACCATGACCATCAACATTGTATCCTCTGTAACAGTGCTGTCTGTGCACAATAATGCTGTCATATGGATTCTCCTCAGTCTGGATAATTTGGATGTCACTGCTATTAAGATACTGGATCCTACTTCAGGAATAAAATAGTTAATGGAAATGTTGTCAGTCTCGGAAAGTGAACGTTTCTCTGAATGTTTAGAGATTCAAAGATTTTATTTTCAAGGTGAAAGTGGAAGATTAACCAGGAATGTCAAGAGACAAAGAGGAAGGTAAACAAAGATAGCACTAACAGTAATAGAGTGTTATCACCAAAGAGCCAAAGATAGTACTTGAAGTAATATCACTAAAATAGAGTGGAAAGACGTGTTTGGGTGATAGAAAAAGGAAAGATAGTGTCCCAGAGATAAAGAGTGTCAGTGCAGAGATATAGTGTACAGAGACGAACAGGAGGGATTAGAGAAACGAGAAAGAGATAGGAGAAGAGACAGAAATTTTGCCCTCACAGAACTTGTTGCTCGTATTGAAGGCGGAAATGTTGTACTGTTATTCTGTCTCGCTATTCTGTATAAAAGAGGGAGAGGGGACAGAGCTGTCTTGCCTTTAGGCCACCCGTGAAAGCAGTAACAGCTCCCGATCAATGTCTGTGTAAAAGAGACTGCCGACAGGATGGGGCAGGTGTGACATTTTTGTGTTATGTGTGCGACCCACCACCCAGAGATTTAAAAAGCAGCAGGAGCAGTTAGCAGTTAGCAGCTACCTCAAAGAAGTGGAAGAACGGCAGCCCAAAGTGTCAGCAGATTGGGCAGAAAATGAGGTCTGGATGCTCCCTAAGCTCTGAGCAGAGGGCGAGATCAGCCCCAACATAACAGAGGGGTAAATGATTGTTATGCCAAGTTATTGTTAAGAAAGCCCGACATGTATGTACTATGTCGTACAAGAGGTTGATGTTGTGTTACACGCCTCTTTTGCTTGGGGATTGCCAGCAAAGTCCCTAAATCACACTGGGGCTGCATTATGCAAGAGTTGTTTGGTTTTGCACAAAAAAGCAAAGTCAGCATAATAAAGAGTCTTCGTTGGGGCCCTTTTGCAAGATCTTTGTGTAAAAAAGGCTGATAATAAACAAAAACAAGACAATCACTGACCTTTGTCTAGCCAGTGTTTGACATCGGACTCCCTGGTGTAGATGGCCTCCCTGGCCTCGCTGCACATGTTGTGGATGTGTGAGCTGAGCTGAGAGGCCTGACTTAGGTTGACCGCCACGCTCATTGTCAGCTGCTCCAGCCCTCTCCGCTCCTCTGCCAAGCGAATGGCCTGAGGGTTTTTCTGAACAGACAGCACAGATGATCAGTGTTCACACCCTCAAATGCTCCGGACATCATACTATAAATATTTAAGTTTTCAAGAGCTGACAATGTTGATGATACAGCACATAAATTCTGCCTGACGCCTTGACGTCATACCTGTCTGAGACGGGCCATGGACTCGCTGGGGATGATCTCATTGCGGCTGAGCCGAGAGATGAAACACAAGGCCTGGTACTGGTTCTGCCCTCTTTCCAGCTCGCCCAGGATCAGCGCTCGGAATATCTTCACATCCTGTAAGACATAAGGGATGAGGGATGACTGGCTGAACGGATAAACAGACGATTCCCAGAAGACATTGAAGTGGTGCATGAAGCGGGGTTATAATAACTTACTGTTTATATGTGCAGGCTCATACAGATTACAACAAATATTCGTTTCATTCCGGTACTTAATGTAGCACTTTTCCAGACACTCCAAGTAATTCAATATGTGGAGTTCAAAGATGTTCAAACAACTGTCTGCTAAAAGTAAAGAGGAGTTTATGTTCTCTACGCCCATAGAGCCTCATCTGACAGTTTGTTGATACTTTTTATTGTCTGTCGGCCTAAGCTACATTGCTCCAGTCAGGCTCTGGTTATTTGTACTGTCAAATTAAGGCTTTGGGCCTCCTGTTTCCAGACAAACTTATCAGAATTGCCCACATTTCGTAAAAGTCTGAAACATTTTACCACGCTGTTTTATGTGGAACTGTAGAAGTAGGAAAATAGTGATAGTGGAGAATTCACAAAATAAATAAAAAAAACTTGTTGCTGTTGGCAAGTGTGTGAGAGATCTGGCACCAAACCCAAGGCCATAAAGAGTTCTGTGAGAGGGCATGCAAAGCATCATGGGAAGCTCCAACAGTGGGGAGAGCAGAGCAGTAGACCTGTCCTCCTATTCATCAGACACCCCCCTCTTCTTGCTGGCTTCAGCTCCAAGACAGACACACACAGTCCCAAACACCCCTCCTCCGCTTTTCACACACTCGTCTGAAGCAAACAGGCTGCAAAGGAGTAGCAGTTTGACGGCTTTCACTCCCTAAGCAGGAGGGACTCTGGGATAGATAAACAGCCCAGAGATAACCCTATTGAGTTCCCCTTAAGCTCTCCGGTTCCACATCCTGTATGCAGAAGTGTACACACTGGCAAGAAAGCAACACAACCTGCCTTAGAAGTGTTTACGCTCCGTAGTTCTTTATAGACTACTTTGCATGATCACGGGTTCGTCATTCTAACGAGTGCTTTTGTCTGTGAAAAGAGTTTCTGGCAGGCGCACAATATAAGCATGGGTATTACACAAGACAATCATGCGATACTATTTGACCTTTGGAAAGCAAATTACTGAGCAAATATTGATTCACAGGCTTTATGTGATATTAACCTCAGATTTTCCCTCATGTGTCTTCATGAGCTGCTCAGTGAATTAGAACATAGACTCAAAGGACTGTGGGAACACAGAAAGCTGAAATTAAATACTTCAAATGTTGCCATACTGTGATAACGAGCCAGCGCTCTATATTATTTCTTTTTTTTTTTACAGAAAGAACAAAGTCTGCATGATTAAAGAGAGTGTCAAGACTCTTCTGAGGCATGAATATATCATAGTGAAAAGAGTGAGATGTAAGGAAAAGGGAGTACAACGCCGACAGAGAGACAGCCAAGAGTGCCATTTCCCCCTAAGTGTAGGGAGACGCAGAGGCCACGACTTCAAGACCTCCCATATTGCAGACACATGGCGCTATGCTGGGACGCTGTGTGTATACGTGTGTGTGTGTCGGCAGAGAGGGAGAAAGAGAGAGAGACGGGGGAAGGCATTCGTGTCAGCCACACAGATTTGCCCCAGGGCTCTCTGGGTAATTACAGAGAGGCTGTGTAGCTCCACCAACTCTGCTTCTTTGGATCTGGTAAAGGGTAGACGCTGAGATCTCCTCCTCCTTGTGTCATTATGTGTCCAGATTAATGATTGTCTACTTCTGCTGCCCTGCATTTGAATTTATGGCCAAAAATGGGCGAGGGGACAGCAACAGGGCTTCATGTGGCAATCACTTTGTCTATGCACATTTTTGCGTTCTTGCAGAGAGTTAGATGAGAAAAACAAAACTGCTCTCATGTCTGTATGCTAAATATCAAGCTGAAGTTAGTAGTCGATGAGCTTAGTTTTCCACAAAGTCTGAAAATTGGGATAACCAGCTGGCCCAGCTCTGTCCGAAAGTAACAAAATTCACCTACCAGAACCTCATTAACTGAGAAAACATATCTTGTTTAATAATTTGGGCAGACACACTAAAATATTTTTGTCTCCGGCCAAAGGTTCAAGCTGTCGTGCATAACTTCTGTCTCCCCCTTCTGGTGGTGAGAGTAATTACACAAACACTATCGGCTCGTGTTTATGATGTACGCCTGCAGGTGAGCTTGCTGCATCTCCCCCGCCCTTAGGAGCGCTTTCTTAAGGCTTCTCATGCAAATATTTTGACTTTAATCCTTAGCTGAGTCCTTAGCAGCAGCCTGGATTTGATACTGACCCAGGGCTCTTTCCTGCGTATCGTCCCCTGCCTCTCTCTCTCTCTCTCTCTCTCTCTCCCCTCTTTCCTGTTCATGTTCAGCTATATGATCTCATTTAAAAAAAGGCTAAATAAATAAATATATAAAGCCTCTAAATGCAGAGTTTCTTTTCTATCTGGAGCATCCACTCAAGAAACTTTCCTTGGATACTTCTTAGGATTTTCCACCATAGCTTCCATCATACTCCAAGCTACTGCTCTATCGTTATGGCCTCTTCCTCCTTCCTGTCCCCTTTAGCTCTGGCTGTTTGACTTAAAACCCATCACTTCCAGTGCAAAAAGTCACCACAGACACCTGAGACCCCAATTATGGTATAATGTGAAATAGACAGAGCTTCTCCAGGCGGCAAAAGGCTTAATCAGCACTGTGTGAACTTGTTTGGCTCGAATGTAACATTCATTTATATATATAAGTCTTGCACTCCAACTTTTAAAAGAAATGATGTGTAATTGTGGCCTTTAAATCGTAATAACAAACCAATGTTGATGTCTTTACGGTTTAGGTGCTGCTGAGATAATAATCAGCATGGCTTCTAAAAGCAAAAAGAGTAATAACAATGACATCATCTCCACATCTCCATCCAGACAGAAGCTGCTGGATTCAACGCTTTGTTTGGACAAGACTCGCCCCACTCCTGCCAGCCTGGAACCAGCACTGGCACATGCACGTTCACTGACTCATTCGTGCGGACGCACTCAGAGTGTGATAAAAGAAAACGCGGTAAAAGAGTGTGATGCACTGTGGTGTGATTAAAGGAGGTTTTACACCTGTTATGTTATGATGACAGGCAGTATTCAAACAGCAGGAGAGAGTGAGTACTGAACGGACTGATCAAACAACAGCTACGTCTTTTAAATCCTGCCAAGTGGGTTGATGGTGTTTTTTCTAAGTCAGGGAATTATGCAAACTGCAGATGAGGGAAGATAGTGGTACCGTTTGACTTTGACAGTAGATCAGACAAATATGATTGAGGCAGGTGTCAAGCTCCTGTGGGATATCAGTAGTGGTTAATATGTGGTTTCCTGGTTTGGCAAAACCTGTTTCACCTGTGCTATGGGTACAGATAAAGATTTAGTCAACTGCTGCTCAAAAATCCCAGATAAGGATCCAGTTGGTAAACTTAAAGCTGGTGATATATCTGAAAAGGAAATTCAGCTTTAGGACATATAGTCAAGAGGGCCTGCTAGAGCTTGAAAATGAAGAGTAAGTGAATTCATAACTGCTCCTTAAAGAAGTAAAGCCTATATCAGGAAAATGAGTCACTCCCCAAAAGTACATTTTCACAGACCTACATAAAAATTAAAGGTTTGCAGACCAACATTTAGAGAAAATCACCAGGTCTGGACATTAAGAATTAAAAGAGTGACATTTCCCCATCTTGAAAAAAGCGGGTAATACCATAATCAAAGGACCGTGTAGCCTTGAGTTTTTCCTCAACCAGCGCAGTGTAAATGTCAGCACAGCTATAAATAATCCACACAAGTACAGATTCCTAAGCATTGCTCCTTGACACCCGGGACTTAGTCCATTTGCAGACAAACCAGCTACCACTGGCCAACAGCCAAACACAAGTCTGTATTCATGCAGCCTGACTAGTAGGTCATACTAAGACCTGTTAAACAGGAGAAAGGTGGGGGGCTGTTTCATTGGTGGTTACCTTTGGTGGGCCAGGTTATTTAAGAGGTGCACAAAAGCCTATTCAGACACTCAAAGGGTGCCATTTACAGTGAACATTCTCCCTCACTGTAGATGTAACCCGGCAGGCCAAATGCATTCTCCTCACAGAGGGTATACCTGGTTTACTGGCTGTGAAATGGAAGCTTTGTGAAGCCCTGCGCTGAAAGAATAATAAGGTTATTTTCTGTAAAGGTTATTTTGCTAAGAGCACTTTTAATGTCCTAGTTAAATTTTCTCACCAACTCTGACCTCAAACAAAAGATAGCTGCTCTATGCATCAACAGTAATGAAAGCTGTAGTAATATACAGTTTATTAGCACCTCTGTCTTATTTGTGTCTCGTTTAAACAGACACACACATAGTCAGGTCCAACTTCTATGCACAATATACAGTATAATGCCTTGTTATGAACTGATATTGCTAACAAAGGCTAATTTGGCAAGACTTGGTATTGTTCACGTCTTGCTTTACAACTTCTTGTACTGGAATGTGGCCAACCCAGGTGTGACGTAATTCCCAGGCCCGACCTCCGACTTCCGAGGTAAATGGAACGCGGCATAACTGTGCCAACTCACTCTTGCATGCATGGGTGGACATTCAAACACACACAAATGCATGCACACACAGACCCACAAACACAAACAGTGTGCCAGTAGCTATCCCCTGTGCAGGAGGTCCTTCCTGTTTTCCAATCCCCTCTAAGACCCTGTCTGTTGATAAGGCTGATGGCTGGCTGGGGAGGACTGTTGGTCAGCCACGTTCTGATGAGTCATTTGGGATCACTGTGGGTCTGTGTGGGTATTTGAGTTGGTCTTTTTTTCAAGCAAGCTGTTAAAACAGGAACCAAAAAGTTCCTGGGGAATTAAAAAAACATAACCAACAACTGCATTTTCATTTTCTGTTTTTTTGAAGGTCTTCTCCAAGTCAACAGCTACTGAGCTGGCAACCTAACAAAAATCCCCAATGCTAATATAAATGCTCACTGTTTTGGCATCACACAAGCTTTCCAGTTTA